ATATCGATTATTTTTAATCTATATATATTGATTAAATGCTATATATTGATACAAATCTGCTTAAAAATTTTTCTGATATAGATATATATAGTAATAATTAATATATATGTAATGATAGTTATTATTATTTTGTTTAAATTAGGTATAATAAATGTAATTCACTTGTCTTTAGCTTTTATTTCATGAAAGATTGCTTTTATTAGTGGACAGTATTTATCATAATTAACAATAAAATTATTTATTTTTTTTGCAACATTGATTAACTTTTTTTATATGCTTTAATTCATCCTTAATTGCAAGTTGCATAGTATATATGATACAATGAATATGATTAGTTTCAAACTGATGTATTGCCTTGACTATAGCTGAATTATTATCAGTTGTATTACCAAAAAGTTTTTCAGTAATATTCTATTTTTGGAATTCTTTACACAAACAATCTTTAATATTATTGCCTATGTGAAAATACTTAAAAGTTTCGATTATAAATAAAGCTGATTTAATATTAAAATCAGAAGTTATCCAATAAATTGTAATTCCAATATAAGGTTTATGGTCTTGAATCCACAAATCAGTTGTAAAAAAGAAAGATTCTATGGAATTGTTCATTAATTCAGTTAAATTTTGTTTGACTATGCTAATGGCTTCATTCATTTTTTTATATAACGAATTTTTATATGAAATAGAATAAAATGATTCAAGTTCATGAACAAATTTTTAGAATTTTTAATTATTTACTACATGAATGGCCTGTATATCATCTATTAACCAGTCCATTAAATGATATGTAATTCTTTTAATCTTATTTTGTTCAAGTGAATAATCCTTAGATATTGTACATATTAAGCTTATTTTAACTTTTTCTTTTTCCTTTAATAATTTAATATTTGGCTCTTAGATAACTAGCAATATTAGTTATGCTGGTTTTTTCTCAGCAATATCATGTGCATTTAATTTTAACTCTATTATCTTCAATTTGAACTTGACATCATCGAGTTTTTTTATTAATGAATAACCAAACCCAGCTTTTAGCATTTTGGTTAGCTGGAATAACTTTAATTTGAGGTGTAATAGGCATCGATGATCGTTCAATTTCATTATTTAAAGAATGATTCATATTTAACTTTGAAATTTTGATAATTTTTATTACAAGAATTTTATTACAAGACTTTATTGCAAGACTTTATTACAAGACTTTTAAATTTACAAATGATAATTCAAACGTTATTCTACAACAATAAGCAAATCATCCAATAAAAACCTATAAAAAGAGACAATAACTAAACTTGGCCAATAATATTATAACCAAGTCGGCCAACCGGCTTAGTCGATCAGGGGTCGACTAGCTGCATATCGGCTTATAACACTAAATGTAGCCGGACAAACAAACCTTGCATATCACCCTTTACAGAATAATATAGTGTCCTTCGCTACACTCCGGACAATGAAATTTTGTACCTGATTGTTCATAAGTCACGGGATATTTGATTTACTATATATACCCGATTTATTTTTATTTACATTTTTTCGACAAAAAAACAAAAGTTTCCCAAGAGGTTTAAAGAGAAGAAAAGAGGTTTTATTATGTAAAGTATATAAAATACATAGTGTTTTATTTGCCTTTTTTAAAAGTTTATTCGAAATAACAATAACAAATCA